CGCCTTCAAACTTGCATGAATGATTGCTTCATGCTGGAGCAAAAATTCTTATGATATTACTGTCGATGTGATCCAAGATGCTTAAGGCTTGCCAAAAACTTGTTCATGAGTCTCAGGAGAACGTCACTGTTGTGTAAAGCACCCCAAAATGGGATTTGCTGCGCAGATTTTGTGTTGTCTTGACTTTTGTTCTGGAATCTCTGCTCAACCTCCCTTTTGTCCGCCTGTAGACCAACGATCCCGTCACCAACATCTGCCAGGCAGCGGACAAGCAGCTCTTCACGTTAGTGGAGTGGGCCAAGAGGATCCCCCACTTCTCAGAGCTCCCCCTTGATGACCAGGTCATTCTATTACGAGCAGGTGTGGATACATGTGTATATTTATTTAGTGAAGGAAATCTCGAAATGTTTTCCGAGGACCCCTCATGTGTCAAATAAACATAACTGTGAGATATGCCATTCTCCTTTGACGTTTGCTGTAACATTAAACAAAAAGCAAATAATTACATGTTGTGTATTCAATCAAGCCATATTATTTAGAAAAGTCAGCGAGCTTATTGCTAACACAATGCCAAACACCATAGAGGCAACAAAATCAAATAAAAATAGCATAGATTGCAGGAGTTAGAAGCACAGTTATGAAAACTTGACATGCCAGCGCTCTGTAGCAACCCAGCCAACTGCTGTGTTACATGGCGGCCATGTTGAGAGGGGCGACATTCCCATCAAAAGTAACGCATGGACATTGAAATTAATTGTTTCAGTATATTTGTTTTATTGGTACACATTTCTCCATTCGTAAATATACACTTTTTAGACCTATTAAAAAAGAAGAAGAATAATTTATTTCAAAATATTTTGCAGACCACGAAGATGTGGCTCGCAAAACTCCCAACGGTCCTGGGACCCCAATTTGAGAACTACCACTGTCGTGTATTTTACACTTAACACACACATTTTAACAGCCAAGCTGCTCCTGGTGGTTGTCGGTCATCCTCAAGCAGGCGGACGGTCTATTTAAGTCTCTTAACATTTACTTGACATATTTACCATTTAGCTAAATGGAGCAGTAAGACTAAAAATAACCGAGAAATCTCAGCGGTGCGTTTGCAATTGAGGAAGCACTGACCTCTGCTGGTGAGAGATATACCTGCATCAGGTAGTGGTTGTAAAAAATGGCCATACCGAATACAGGGCAAAAAAGTGCCGCATGAGAAAATAGGTGTAATCCTTCGAAAATCAAATTGTACCTTTGCACGTCTTTATTTTATCAGTCTGGTCCCAACAAATGCAGATAGATCTGATTTTATCCTCCCAAACGATCTCCTTGAAGCGCGTTTTAACTGTTTCGTTTTGTAGGCTGGAACGAGCTGCTCATCGCGTCCTTCTCTCATCGGTCGGTGACGGTGAAAGATGGAATCCTTCTGGCCACGGGCCTCCACGTCCACAGAAGCAGTGCCCACAGCGCTGGGGTGGGCTCCATCTTTGACAGGTTGGGAGCAACAGAATACAAACAACACTAAAATTATATTGATGAGGTGTTCACAGACACTTTCAGATAAGGATGTATATTATTCACCAGAAGTACAAAATGTGACAATAAAGAATTTTGACTTGAGGCTTAGCCAGGAATGTCAAATGTGTTCTTTGCTTAATGTTTGTGGCAATTTTAGTTGAGTAAGTTATATATTTGATACCAATGCAGAGTCCTGACTGAACTGGTGTCCAAAATGAAGGATATGCAGATGGATAAAACGGAGCTGGGCTGTTTGCGAGCTATTGTCTTGTTTAACCCAGGTCAGTGCTTCTTCACCTTTTTACCTTGACGGTCTACTTCACAGCATTGTGTAAAAGCAGCCATAGCTAGCTCAGAGATCTTCCTGGGCTTTACTTAACAGGGCACGCCCTGAAATAAAATAATTGTAGAGAATTTTTTATAGCTCTAAAATTATTACACTTAAGTAATGAATACTTTGAATACTGTTGTAAGTTTCTTCTCTGAGTTTTATTTGATTGAAACAATTATTCACAAAATTTGGATTAATTTAAAAATGTGGGGGGAAATTTTTTTGCTTCTTTCCTGTACCACTCGAGGGAGCCATACACTTATCACTCGAGAATTTAAAACTGATGATTTAGAAAATGAGACGAGATTTGCAGTTAAAATGTTTTTTTAGTCGATACGTTTTTTTTTTTCACAAAAATAAAAAATGTACTCTATAAAAGTAAAAAAATAATATGAGGAATGTAATGTTTTGAATCATCAAAGTCTCGAATGCTTTTGGCTATTGCAGATATTGGGTGTTCACGTGTCTGACAATATGTGTTTGATTCAGATGCAAAAGGTCTGTCCAACCCAACGGAGGTGGAGGCACTGAGGGAAAAGGTGTACGCCTCACTGGAGTCCTACACTAAACAGAAATATCCGGACCAGCCTGGCAGGTGGGAATTACCATTTCTAATTGTCTTTGCATAATTGTTTTTGCTGTGTTTGTTGCTTTCACTTGAAGGAAGTACAATTGTTAGAAATTTTTAAAGTACTGTACATGAAATGAAATTATGACAAATATGTGTTTATAAATTATACTGGTTGGAATTTTGAAAATGCAGTACAAAAAAATAAGAACTGAAATAAAAATGTATTTAAGGATGCCAAAATTAAAGATAAGATGTAAATATAAATATATCATACATACTATTACATTTGGTCATTATATTTGGTGCATATCTGATATAATTGGATTACTGCATATTTCTTTTAATTTGAAGAAAATTATTACAAATAATTTTTAAAAAAATTCTATTTGCCAAATATTTTATATAATTGGACAAATAGTTTTTTATTTGAAGGAAATTAAACACAAATTAATATTTGATATGATAAAGTAGTTTGAAAAAACAGTTGGGTTTTTTTCCCCTTTTGCTAATTATATTTTGGAAATATTTGACCTAAATCCTGAGCAAATGTCCATAATAAAATACATCAGTGATTGTGTGTGTTGTTTTGGGGGTTTCAGGTTTGCCAAACTGCTGCTGCGCCTGCCCGCGTTGCGCTCCATCGGCCTCAAGTGCTTGGAGCATCTTTTCTTCTTCAAGCTCATCGGGGACACGCCCATTGACACCTTCCTCATGGAGATGCTGGAGGCGCCCCATCAGATCACATGACCCCTGTCAAACACCCCCTCTTGTAAATAGCCGTTGTCAGCATTATGAAGATGGATTCGGGGGGGAAAAGGACGCTGCAATTGTAAAGTTGAATATTTTATAACAATTGAAAACAACAACATTGTAATTAAACCCGAAACGCAATTTCAAGGCTGCGTTGAAGACTGACTACAAGCATCGCAGTCTTTTTTTTTTTCTTTGTAAATAACTCATTGCAGGTGTCCGTTTTGAAAGCAACCCAGTGCATTTGAGAAGGAATCAGATTTTATTAATAGAGTAATTGTATAAAATAAAATTTTAAGTAAAAAAAAAAAGTCATTTCTTAAAACATGAGTATTCTTACAGAATAAAGTTATTAAGAAATACATGTAAAACTCTATTTGTCATGTCTGCATATGCTGTACAATGAATACATCCAAATCTATAAATTTATAGAGGTAGTCCAAAGTCACCGGAACAGTTTATTCTAAATTTTACAATTTCAATGTGTATTTCCTGTCTTGACCACTAGATGGGACCGTGGTCCTTATTTTAATGTTGCCTTCAGTGACAGTCTGAAACCATAGCTTTACAAACACTTACTGCGATCTTGCCACAGTATTCATTTATTTATCCATCATTTCTCCATCTATTGATAACAGCCATCGATCGTCATCTATTTGTCCATCTATATTTTCATCCATTCATGTTTCTACAAAGTATCTATCTGGCTATCTGTCAATTTTTAAACAATAACGAGCAATATTGGATCATATGTGCCATGGCATCGCTTGGCGATCAGAGAATTTTCCAATGAGATTGAACCGATGTCATCCCAGCATCTATCGCGATTACAGTCATATGCTATGATTAAATTACAAGACATTTCTCAGCTACATTTACTGCGTTAATTCAGCCATTTGTTTGCACCTACGAGTGGTGCTCTCTCTCTCTTTCTCTCTCTCTCTCTCTCTCTGTCTCTCGCTCTCTCTCTCTCTCTCTCTCTCTCTCTCTCTCTCTCTCTCTCTCTCTCTCTCTCCTCGTCCCGTTGTCAGAATACATGATTAAAAAAAAAGTCCAAACAGTGTGAGAACAAGTTAAGGAGAAGAAGAAGCTCCAAGGAGGAGAAACTTTCGGGTACTGTGAACCGCTACCACTGGTATCCACGTTGAGATGCACTGAGAGGACCGCCAATACTTTTAGCAGCCTTTTCGCAAGCTCACTTTAAGAAGGTATGGATATCACTTCCTGAATTTAAATCACTGAATCGTGTGATTGGTGAGAAGGTTCGGGTTAATGGTGTAAAGGTATCTGGGAACTGGTTGAGTAAGTTTGGTATTTTGGGCAAATCATTTTTTAAAATAGAGGCACTGTACTAAATATATTCAAAAGTCATTCGACGAAATGGAAATTAATATACTGTACATGTTTTATAAGATAAAATAATACGTACTATATATATATATAAATTAAAAGGTTTGTGAAGTATACATGTACTGTATTATATTTTATTGTTATATCCCTCTATTACTATATTTGCCCAATATTTGAAAAAAATATTGTGTCATTTGAAGGAAATGACGTTTTTTTTTAAATTAGATAAAAATTACAAATGCCTCTGAGATTAATATGTAAAGGAAGATATGTACGCAAAATGTGAGTCCCAATGTTTAATTTTATTGACATATTACTAGACTTTGTATTTTGTGTATTTGGAAAAACATTTTTTTTACCAATGGTAGAAATAAATGTTGAAAAAAATATATTAAATGAAAAATACATTAAATTATAATGAATAAATGTTTTATAAGATGACATATGAGTCTAGATTTTTAAAAAAATCGTCTCTACATCTGTTCATTGTTTTGCATATTTTGACAATTGCAATTTTTAATTGGATGAAAACGTAAAAAAGAGAAATTAATGAGTAAATATAATCACGTTGGATTATTGGAACTAAATTATTACAAACTTATAATGACAAAATGAACCTTCTGCCATCCCATTTAATGAACGCCCTGCAGAGGATTCATCATGTGCATTTGTGTGTATTTTTCCCCCCCCACACTGTTTATTTTCGATTTGAGAACCGATCAAGTTGAAAGCGGCGTCACGTGACCCCCATGAAGCTTGGACGATATTTGTTTAGAGAGCGTGCACATTCGCGTAATTTGCCCTTGCGTGTTCCCTCGCAGACATGCAACGCAGGCCGGTGTGCGCCGGCTGCCGGAGGCCGATCTCGGACAAGTTCCTGCTGCAGGTGGCTGACGGCCTCCGGCACGAGGCGTGTGCGCGCTGCTCGGCCTGCGGGGACGCGCTGCGGGACTCGTGCTTCGTGCGGGAGCAGCGACTCTACTGCAAGCGGGACTACGCAGAGTGAGTGACTCCCTTATATGAACGAAATGTTTTGGGGTTTTTTTTGGGTGGGGCTGGAACGAAATAATGGCATTTCGTTTTATTTCAATGGGCAGTGACTTTATAAAGTCTTTGGAGTTGGAAATACAAACTCTCACTCATTTTTGTTGTGCATAACTACGGTGGTAATATACTATTTTTAACTAATACAGAAATTTTGAACAAACTCTTGTTTTGGATATTTTCCTAATGTCCAGGTGAGTGTAAATACTCACTTGTGTGTTAGCGGCTAATGCTACTGCATTGCATCTGTTTTACAATAAGATCTTGCCGGACGTTTTTTTTTTTTTTGCGTTTGTTGACTTCCAGGCAACTTGGTGAAGTCCTCTCATGAAGAGAACAAGGTGACTGAGGGTGGGAGGTGTGATACAAAAAAGCGTGCACACGCACACAAACACACACTCAAAAACAAGCAGGGGTGGGGCTCAAACGACACGTTGTCAAAATGTGTTAAAATCGCAAGGTCCATTGGCCCAGTAATGACAAGCTGGGGGCCAACATATGGTGAAGAGGTAACCCCACCCCCCCTCCACCGCTACCACCTTTCCATCCTAACCTCCCATCACCCATTTCCCCTCATCCTTCCACCTAGCATCCAAATTCCACTTTTAACATGCAGCAATATACTGCATGTCATATCCGATGATTAATGCAATAGCCTCGTCAATAATAAACGCCATAACGCACAATAGAAATAAACAGAACCACTCAAAATAATCCACAGTCATGCTCATGCCCAACATACATCAAGATGAATGCGATTGTCCATCTCGACGGTTATTAATGGAAACCGCCAATGGTGACCCTGCCCAAGAGAAATAAACAGAACCACTGCAAATAATACACAGCGATAAATGAAACGCGTTCAAATGGTGTCCCTATATTTACATTACGCATAATACCAATGCAAAATATGCATATGAGTCGTAGGTATTTATTTTGGTTCACAGTTGCCAGCTTGCGCTTCATCGTTTTTTTTTTTGAAGTGCTTTTTCTTTTACACACTCTTTCATCCTGCCCTATTGCTTTGAAAATCCATAATTTAGTCTGTCTTGGAAAATGATCAATGCAAAATCCTGTGATTTTGCGGCAATTCTGTAACAAAAATGACCGGAATGATGAGACGTCCGGCCTTAGTTTTGACCCCCAACCAAAAGGAGCAAGTTTTGGGAGGTGGCCATATGTCAGAAGGTCTGTCGCATCCCTTCAAGAGGGACGTCAGCGTGAACTTATTTTGGTGGACAGCGACCACCACGAGCGCTTGGCGTCCAAAGCGTTGCGGCATCTGGAAAGCCGCTCTCGCCGCGGCCCCTGTGTGGCGCTATGGGACGACGCCCAGCCAACCGTGAAATATCTGACCTGACCAATTAGCAGGAGGCCTGCTGCCAAAGCTCCGCCCCTGAGATTTCACGTCTCCAAATCTAACACCCCCGCCTTCCGAATGTCTGATAGTAAAGGTCCAACCCTCCCGCCTAGCACACTGTCCCCTGTTGTCCTTTAAGACCCAATATTTATTTTACAGAACAAAAATTTCAAAAAATGTCACAAAATCAAAAAAAAAATGTGAAAAACACACGTTCATCCGAAAAACAAGACACTGCTAAAAGGTATCTCTGGTGCGCCCGTGACCCTTGTGAAGCAGTTCCGATAATGAATGAATATTTATTATTATTGTAAAATCCTGTCACACTTAAATAAAAGGAAATTCTCTCCCAAAAAATTAAATAAGAAATGAATGTAAAAATATTCCACATAAAAATTTGTATCCATTTTTAATGAACACTTTCAGGGACGGCGGTCACTACAGTGGACAGCTTATCATGTTATCAGGTTATCATTATTGGTGCATGAAAGGGGGTTTAAAGCTTTATAAAGAGTTGATAATGTTCTCAAAGATATCCCAGTGCAGTCGTGCGATGAAGGCACACTCATGTTGCTGCATGTTTACATCAACTACCGGCATATTGAGCACGGCTCTTCGCTCCGCTGGACCTGGATGGCATGTCGGTCTTATTGGTCACATGACTGGAAGTGTCCTTGACCTTCGAGATCTGTATCTGACACACACGGGGATCCTGCTTCACCTGATCCAGAAACCGGACCCGCTTCTGTGCGTGTTCACTAGACCGCACTAGTCCAAGCTCGTGTTTTTCGTATGGGGAACATTGTAGCTTGTGGGCTCATGAGCGAAAGTTATTTTTAAAGCGCCCTGGTCCAAATAACCGTCGACAATTGTATGTTTGTGATAAAAGGCGGCTAGATAATGGATTGTAGAAGAGTGACTGTAGCTACAGTTTTCTTCTAAGTAAATGTTGCTAGTAAAATCAGTAGTTAGTAGTCATGGAAAGGTTTTTACCCCTTGTTGTGTTTGGTAAAGAGCGCAGTATTGACCCCATTGAGTATGTGAAACATTCCAAGCATTTCCTCGACCTACTTCATTGATTGCTACGTTCAGGAATGCAAGCGTGCGACATGTCGTTCATATTAAAGTGCATACCACCGAGGGCATAGGGCAGACGACCCACATGGGTCAAGCAGACCTCATTTGACCCAGAGGAGGCTTCACTGTTTCCCTCGGCAACCGCACAGCAAGAGTCAGAGGAATGTGGTAGGATATAGACCTTTTGACAAGGATGTACCAGCACCTTTGCTGGTCAATAGTCACTATATGGACTGAGTGGCCACTTCACCTCCTCTGTCGGAGAGCTGTTCATTTAACAATAGGCTATCTTTAGTATTGTGGTTGTAGTTTGCTGAGATGTAAAACTGCACTGCATTTAAATTAGCATCTCTAGTGCACAGCATCCAAACTTATATTTGACATTAGAAAAATCTCACAGCGCACCATCATACAAAAAGTCTCAAAAGTTATTATACTTTTACAGTAAAATATCCTATACACCAAGGATGATGCCCCAAAGATATACTTTGTAAAACAAACCAATAGCCGTGGCCTCCTGTCGGCGTAAAAAACAGGATGGGAGAGGAACGAGACATTCATGAATTGCATTCTCTTCAGCAAAATTGAGACAAAGCTAAACACGTTTTCTTTCAAATGTACAATGTATCAACAAAATAGTTGTAGCCATCTCATGAGAGAAACCCTCGATGGAGGGTATATTTTCTGTATGCATGTAATGTATATTGTATCGATGGGAACAGATGGATACACAGGTTACTTATACCTTCTTCCATCTAGTAGAAGAACATTTATTTGTTCAGCCGGTGACGATACTTCACTCTCATATAAAACAAAGATATATTATCTATATTAAAAAATATAAATTTTAAGACCAATTAAATGAAGTCGGGAACCATCACTATATTGTAAAGTTTTTCTCTATTCTTTCATCCGCCCTACTGAGCATTGAGTGTACGCTATCAAAAGTTCTGTAATATCTATTCAATTCTTTTAGCCATTTTTACCACTCCAAAATCGCTAAAACGAATTGATTTTTGATTTCTGTAACCATTTTTATAGATCATATTTTAAACATGTCATGTCATTCATAAAACAAAACAAAACAAAATATGTTTGTCTATACAGCGGCCGGATACTAGGTAGTGGCAAGTACACAAATAAATTACTGAAAACAAATGTCTTGAGCAATCGACAGCGAAATGTAAAGAGCTGTCAGTTTCTCATTTGCTGAGTTGGTCCGCTGACCCACAAGTCAGGCCTGCAGACAACTTCAGAATGATGATGCATCATCAGGCATGACAGCCTCAAGATGGGTCGGTGCCAGCCGCCGCACAATAGTCCTGCTGCTTGAGTATTGGGTGGGGGCGGCTCTGTCTTTGTCCCACTCTGTCTGAGCAGACTTCGAGATAATTCCGCGGATAATTCCAAGAACCGGCGGCCCAGCCTCTCCCGCCGGGATATCTGATTCCCCCCCTCCGCCTGGAGCCATGGCCTGCCGTGAGCCTTTTCTGGACGCTGCCCGGGGGCTTGGCCGCCGACGCGGCAGCCGGAGCCACGGCAACGGTGTCACGGTGTGGATAAGCCCACGCTGCTCCTGGTTGCTAGGCGCTAAGACGCACACCCGCCATGCTGAGGGTATGCGTCTGAGTGGCTGGAGGAAGAGGTGGAGGGTTGGGGGGGGGAGGGGGGGGGGGGGGGGGGGGGGGGGGGGGGGGGGTCAACGAGAGGATTTGAGGCTGGGAGGCATTCGGTGTGACAGTCAACTGAACAATATTCCCTGGGAACCTATCCTCTGTTATTTGCTGGAAAACTCACCTATTCACTGTTTTTGTACTCAGGCCAAAGCCGCGTCTAAAAGAGTGGTGCCTCGAGAGGCCGCCCCAGTTAAAGTTTACTGTCAAAGTAAACATCAAACAAAGAAACTTGCACCTTGTGTTTTTAAAACAACCACCTCGCTTAGTTTTTAAGTCTGCAAGCTTAATGCTAATACTAAATCGTGTCTATGCTGCAGTGATGTGACCCTTGAAGTAAAAAAATGCTTGTCGTGTTTCGATATGTTCCCTTTGACACTTTGTTTGGACTGTTTCCCTCTCACCAGGCTGTTTGCAGTGCGCTGCGGGGGCTGTTTCGAGGGCATCTCTCCTACAGAGCTGGTGCTGCGTGCCGGGCCCGCTGTCTTCCACCTGCGTTGCTTCACCTGTAGCGTGTGCTCCGCCCCCATGAGGACCGGAGACCGCTGCGTGGTCAGGGAGGGTCGGCTTGTCTGTGCCAGGGAAGACTACCACCGGCGTGTGGCCAGCCCGACTTCATCTGACACAGGTGGGAGGACATGTGGACATGATGGTCATTCTTAGGGTGTCTCCTCTTGCCTGACTCTGGTTCAAATATGCAGTAAAACGAGGTTTCTTGAAATGATGGGGTCCAGGATTTTTCAAGGACCGCCTCCATATACAAATCACTTGATTCTCCCTATTTTGTACATATGAATTATTTATTTAGGCAAAAGTGACGATGCAGACGAAGAAGAGGATGAGGAGGAGGACTCAGGGAGGGTCACAAGTCGACGAATCAGATCAGATGAGCAGGAAAGTAAACGTCCCAAAAGACCTCGCACTATTTTGACCACCCAGCAAAGACGGATTTTCAAAGCCTCTTTTGAGGTTTCATCCAAGCCGTGTCGAAAGGTAAAGTCCTGATTCTTCCATTTTACACATAATGTATTGTGGATTAATTATGAAGTATTAAATTCAGTGCCGGCCATTTTCAGACTCTTCTTTACCTTACTATGTGAAAATAAATACATAAATAAACATACAAAGGCATATGAAAAACATGAAAAAAACGTCCTTAGCATTGAATGAGTTGCAGTAGTATGCAGTAATTAAACAAACAAACAAAAATAAGCGTGCCCCTGTCACAAAAAGACAAAGAAAAAGCACACCACACACAATTGCTCCGTCTTGTGTCACCTTGGCTGGACCTCTGTTTTTAAAATCTGCCTCCTTTATTTCCTGAATCTCACTTAAAGGTACGGGAGACCTTGGCAGCAGACACTGGCCTTACTGTCCGGGTTGTGCAAGTCTGGTTCCAGAACCAAAGAGCCAAGGTAATGCGCATACACACACACACACACACACACACACACACACACACACACCATAAGAAAAGCTCTTTCGACACGGGGGCGTCTGCCAAAGCTAAAGTCAGCCTGGTTATCTCCTCATAGAGGAAACTGATGACATTTCAGCGCATGGCGACTAGACTTGAAACCTCATATTTCCTCGCAATGTGAACTTGTGTTGTTCCCTGCTCGTGCTCTATAAAATGTCCTTTACCCAATACTTCATCATTGAGTAAACACACTTTTTGTGTGTGTAGATGAAGAAACTGGCTCGGAGACAACAGCAGCAGGAACAGGAGCAGCCGACTCAAGAGCAGCAGGAACAGCCATCGCATCACAAAGGTGTTGCACAGCGATTTATAAATTGCATGACATGATAAACAGTAGACACTATTTTCAACAATATCTTGTTTTTTTTTTTGTTTTTTTTTTGTTTTTTTTTTAAATTCATTTATAACCGGCATCAATTATACGTGGATTTTCGCTATTCAAGCCGGGGTGCATTGGAGTTGTCTGTTGCAGAAATCTGTGGTTTACTATCTAGTGATCGTTTGTTGTTTATACAGGTTTTGATGCTAACATAAATGCAGTTTAATTCATTGCCAGTTTCGTAAAATATACAAAACTTAAATCAAATTTCTCCATTGAAATTCATTAAAATTCCACCAGCTGTGTACCTGCAACGTATAAGCAAAATCCTTCATATTTTTTTTTATCCCTTATTGCTCCACAGCGCCCCCCAATGGTGTGCCTACCTCAAAGCTGGAGCACCTGGGGTCTCCCTACTCCCACGTCCACCAGCAGCAGATGGAATTCACAAGAGTGGAGCAGAAAGACTTTGACATGGACCCCTTCAGACAGGGCCTGACCCCACCTCAGATGCCAGGGGATCACATGCACCCCTACGGTAAAGAGCACGTCATGCTTTTACAAAGACTTCTGACTGCTGCCAGAATTACGTTACTTGCATTCGTATTTGTCACACAGTGGTGCAACACAAGGAAATGGACGATATAACAATACTCACTGTTATATATTCTTTATCCTCACCAACGCACAACTAATATTGCTGTGGCTTACTGATCAGCTGTGACATTTATTATTCTGCATTATACTGCCCCCAGGTGGCCAAGGCTCGCACACCACAAGCACAATTGGAGCAGAAAATGTGGCAAAAACTGTTCAATTTAATTGTACAGTATTATGTCATAAATATATGGGGTTCTTTTTGCTGTTTTTCATGTTTTAAAAAACATTTCATATGTGAAAAACGTGGCTCCATTTTAGATATTGGGAAAATTCTTCACCACGTAAGGGCTCGGCAAAGTGAATTTAAATTCAATTTCATTCAATTTCATTTCACTTAAGCATGTGCTTTGAAAAAAAGAATTATACAGGAATACCTCATGTTTTATGGCCAGTGACTCATACACTCAGAGATAATCGAAAAAAATTCAAAGCTGTTGTCTTTTTCAGGTTTCACTGCCCTTTACGGCGACGTGGTCGACACCGTCTGCTTGTCATTGGGCGACAACTCGTCACTCCTCACCCCCATGGACTGCCTGTACTCCATGCAGGACTCTTACTTCACCTCCTGAAGGACAACCCTCATCACATACGCTCATTATTTATCCACATGGACTGCGCGCAAACCGGCAGGGAACAAACCGGTGCGCAAATGGGTACACTATGACACTCGTATTTGTCACACAGTGATGCAACACAAGGAAATGGACGATATAACAATACTGACTGTCATATATTCTTTATCCTCACCAACGCACAACTAATATTGCTGTGGCTTACTGATCAGCTGTGACATTTATTATTCTGCATTATACTGCCCCCAGGTGGCCAAGGCTTATGTCATAACGATGTGGGGTTCATTTTGCTCTTTTTCACATTAAAAAAAAATACATTTCATGTGGAAAACGTGTCTCCATTTTAGATATTGGAAAAATTCCTCACCACGTAAGGAAACGGCAAAATGAATTTTAATTCAATTTCATTCAATTTCATTTCATTTAAACATGTGCTTTGAAAAAAAGAACTACGCAGGAATACCTCATGTTGTGGCCAGTGACTCATGCACTCAGAGATAATCGAAACAAATTCAAAGCTGTTGTCTTTTCCAGGTTTCACTGCCCTTTATGGCGACGTGGTCGACACCGTCTGCTTGTCATTGGGCGACAACTCGTCACTCCTCACCCCCATGGACTGCCTGTACTCCATGCAGGACTCTTACTTCACCTCCTGAAGGACAACCCTCATCACATACGCTCATTATTTATCCACATGGACTGCGCGCAAACCGGCAGGGAACAAACCGGTGCGCATATGGGTACACTGTGACACGAATGCAATACCCCAGTACATCCCGTAACAAAGTATGCTCACGCTTCAGTCCTGTCACTTTTTTACTGTCCGACCTCTCTACTATGCTTGAATGCCACGTTACGAGATTACAACGGATGTGAATAACTGTCTGAATGTGTATTTATTCTTGTAGAGTGTGTTCATTTTGAATGAATGAATCATATATGATCAATAAAAAGTGACTCTGGAATAGCGTGTCATATACCGATTAGAGTGAAACTGCTCAAGTCACACACCTCTGGGGTTTAGTCAATTGGTTGCTCTCTTATTTCCTTTACACAATATCTTCTGATGACATTTTTTTGCTGGACTGGCCACTCCAACCACACACCAGGTAGCACAACCTGTTTTACTGCTACTTTCTTGTCCCATCTTGTCTTGCTCTGTCTCATCTGGTCTGGACCTGCACTTCTTTGCCTTAGACTATTCCATTCCACCTAGTCCTGTACTACCCTGTTCCTCCTTGCCCTGTCCTGTGCCAGCACACCCCGCACCACCCAATCCTATCCTGTCTCACTTAGTTCTATCGCACCCTATCCTGGACTGTCTTAGTCTGTCCAGCCATATCCTGTCCTTCATTGCCCTGTCCTGTACCGCCTTGCACTTCTATGCCCTACACAGTCCTGTGCCACTCCACCATGCACTTTTTCATCCCACCTAGTTCTGTCCTACCCTGTCCCTTTTTCACATGGCCAGTTCCTGTCCTGTACCAAAACATACCGCCCCTCACTGTCCTATTCTGTTTCATCTCGATCTATCGTGCCCTGTTTTGCTTGTCCAAACTTATCCCACCTTTGCCTATCCTTTCCCAACCTACTTTGCCCTGTCCTGTCCTGTTCTTTCATTTTCGCTGTCCCTTCTCAAACCTCATCCAGTCCAAAAGCATTTCAGATGAATGTCTACAATTACAAAACAAATAACAACAGAGGGTTTTTAGCCAACTCTGACGTTTCAACATACAGATTGATTATACTGCATCCCTGAGCTGCCGAACAGGACAGGTGTGAAAAAATGACTGTAACAAATGTTACCAATGCGAAAAAAATGAAGGTTAAGCAGCATCTTATAATGGATACTTTCCACTGTAGCGACTATTGGGGCATATTTGCTGAGTACAGTATATGATCTGCTATACTCCTACCACTGGAATGCACTGGTCCTGATGAGAGGTGTTTGAGGGTGTGCGTGACCCAGGAGATACGAAGACCCCTCGCTTCCTTGCCCTGGCAGTGACCCCTCTCCTGGAACCCGTTTCGTGTTTCCCCCTGCTATGAAACGAGACCTCGCCGAGCGGCGAGCGCAAGTCAATGGTCAGGAACAATCTAAATGTCTGTCAGCGCGCTGTGCTACTGCCAAGAAAGCCAAGCAAGTGTGCAGCAGAGTGTGCAGTGGGGCCCCTCTTTTGTGTCAGCATGCGCTCCCGGTGTCTGGAACTCAAGTATCATGATGCCTCTTTATCTTTTTAACTTGATCAGGGGTTCTGGAACGTTTTGGTCCAGGGACCCCTTACAGGGTAGACATTTATCCAGGGACCACCTTGTAATACAAATGGCGATTAAAACTAAATACTATGTATACTGTACCTCTAAATACCGTCGTCATTACAAAGTTGGCTATGGTGAAGACGCTACAAAGAAAAAAATAACCAAAGGGTCTGTCGACCGATACCGGGCCTTTGAATATGGCTTTGATCTGAGGACAAAAACACTGAACATGTGAGGTTTTTTTTGGTAAATCGAGGATAGGTTCCACCAAATCAGTGAATAGACGAATTTATGAATGCGGGGGGGCGGAGAGAGGGGAGGGGAAGCTTGAACTTGATGACAGGATAGGAGCCAAACCCAAATATAAAGCAGGAGAGCCAAGGTGGTCACCTCACTTCCTGCGTGCACAGTTGGCACACACACACACACACACACACACACACACACACACACACACACACACACACACACACACACACACACACACACACGTGCGCGCACACACACACACACACACACACACACACGGTTGCCAGCAGTGATAGTAAAGGGCTTTGGGAACAACACTAGAGCTGTGATCATACGGTCACAGCTGGTGGCGATAACCTCGTCATTATGCTCAAGGTATCGCTGACAGTTTCCTGTCAGCTATCCGGTTATTTATTGCAGCGTCCGTGCCAAGAAGCAGGCCACACACACACACACACACACACACGCACACACACACACGCACACGCACACTAATTGGCTTCATGCTGTTGCAGCGCCAACTCACACACACACACACACACACACACACACACACGCACACGTTTTCCCTTTAAAGTGCTATAATTGGCTTCATGCTGTTGCAGCGCCAACTCGGATGAATACGCTGGGCTGAAGATCCGCCGTCACTCACCATTTGCAGCACTTCATGGTATTTTCATGGTGAATTACTGGTCAGATCCAGTGAATCCACATCTATTTGCGGTTCGCTTTTCACCAATTTATTACTCGCTGTGGAACCTATCGTGAGCTGCTGCTGCGTGGATGGAAAAACTCGCCTCGTTTGAGTTTATTGTGCTCTTTCTGTAACGCTCCAAGATTGCCACTAGATGTCATTAAAAACCTGGCTAATAGAAAAGCAGGAATTGATGTCAACGAAGTGTTGAAGTGACATTGAATGAGAGACTAAAATCCCACATCAGGGCTATGTTATTAAAACTAACGAAATAACTCAAATTAAAAAAAAATCTTGCTTGAAATAAAATAAAAACGAAAACGCTTCCAAAAATGAAAACTGACTGAAACAACTCTTACATAAATAAATAAATAAACTCATATTAAAACTAATAAAAACAAAATTAAGACAAATCATTATTTACAAAATAAAAACTGTGTACAAACTAACCAACCTGGTCTAAGAACTAATTTAAAATAACTGAATTTGAAACCAAAAGTCAAAATGACATAAATAGTAACTATTATTACAAATCGAAAACTGTTATAACCCTGGTTGGGGTGATTTGTGTTTTTCCTGGCTTGTTGGGAGGCCTTTGTTTTACAATTGCAAAATGTGTTGCGAGCCATCGATTAGTCAAAGGAGATTTTTTTTTTTGCGTCGCTGTTGCAGTGGTTGACCCAGTTCATGATTGTGTGTCCTTTTATTCGAAGTAATCAATAATTCAGTGCAGTTGAAAGTGAACCTAATTGTTTCCTATACTTTCCTTTTTGTTTAAGTGTCATGATGATAACAAAGCTTTTAATTGACCCATTGCTAACGTGGGAGTTATTACTTCATTATAATTTTCCTCCTATGCAGTTTCTTTATTTTTTTTACACACAAGACAACATTTTTTGATTGTTTTTACCCAGATTTCCAAAACACCCAGTCGAATTCTACAGTCCCATCAGCTAGTTGGAAAAAGCAGCAGCCCGAAAATCATAGTCGGTGTCGATTATTATCAGAGATTAAATGTTTTAAAATGTCCGCCGGTAGGGGGCAGATGTGTGCTTTCAATCAAATAGAGTACAACAGTTTACTGTAGCTCAGAAACGTGGTCATGTGACTCTAAGGTCAGTGACTCACCAGCGATGAACCTCACTGCACATCACACGAGCGCACAGGCAGCCCGGAGCCGAGATTCAAACCCAGAACTTAACTGTGTGTATGTTGGGGAGGAGGTAAGATTACGGGGAGTCTTTGCTTTATGCGCATGTTCATTACATGCACACTGCGGGTAATTTTTTTTTTTCCCCAAAATGAAATCAAATCGCTTAGCAAAATGTATTTTTTAAGGTACAGTGGTAAAATGAGTTTGAATTTATATTAAACTGTTAGTTTGAGGTATATTTTCAATTTAAGGTATTAATGGAGGCAATATTGAACATTTTTTGCACAGTCCCTATTCCCAACAAAATAAATAAAGTAATAATAATAATAATAATAATAATAATAATAATAATAATCATGCTTCCCCTCACATTGTCACTGATACACGTTGTTTCTCCTTTGACCTGAAACTGTGTTAGTCACGAGTAATGGCTGAACTTTGAGTGCTCTTCAACACTCATTAATGTGCATTTCCTGACAGACAGGAAGTGCATGACTCCAGCAGAACAATTTGTTTCATTCGTGCCAATCAGATCAAATTCTTTACACTCGGTGGCACCCCTCTGAGCCACCCGGTCTGGCCATTGAATGACAATTGCATTGCACGACCAGGATTTTGACTATTTCAGACCAAATGTTGACCATCAATACTCGTAACAATGGGGAAAGTCCCAGAAACCCAATAGCCTTCCTCGGACAAAGTCTTTCTGAACAACTGCCCATTCCGTAACATGTTGCTTGAAATCGCTTTGTCGTGACTCCACCATCACGAACTAAGCCGGTGTGTGTACAGCGCTTGAGGTGTTGAATCGTGGAACTTGCACACTCAAACAGAAACAGGAACGAGTCAAAGGATTGTTTGGTCAGCGCAGTTAAAAAATAATGTGTCTGGAGAAATGTGATACCAAGTGTGAGATACAGGGCAGTCTGGACGGGATGTGACTGCACGCTGAACAGGATCTCGAATAGGATAACAGTGGTCGCCCAATACCAGAAGACTTCATTAAAGCCATTCTGGTGGAAAACAACAGTCAAATAAATACTGCAGATGTTGATTCCATCATACGTTTAAACCACTTCAGTTCCAAATGTACAAATCAAATAGTATCCATATTTTGAAGATTTTAAACTTTTATCTTGAAATAATTTATGATGCAGTGTCGACATAACAGAGATCACAATATGATTCACGATCGCATTTCAGAAGCGAGGCACCTTACAGAAAATCGTCAAATGTTTCTAATTTGGCTTTAAAAGTGAAAATAGTGCCATCTGGTGGAAAATGTAATAATACTGTAATACTGTAATTGAAAGCTAGGACAGTAATTCTTGACCGCAAATCGACAAAAATCATGAGTAAATGACAACCCCGGAAAACGGTTTTGAACTGTCAATTTTAATGATTTAAATTGTAAATATGCCACAAAGTATGATCCCAAAACAGTTAAATATCATTTCAATCTCGTCTTCTAACATGACCATTAAAGTAAATATGTTAGAGTTGATTAGATTAAAAAAAAGAAAGAAAGAAAAATGCAACGAAAGTGCACATGTACATGCGCATGCGCAGCAAAGACTCCCCAACATACCAAGCTTGTCTCTTAGTCAAGATGCATCACCTCCATAGTCCTCAAGGTACCATTCTAAACACAATTTTGAGTCTTCACTAAACCTAGGCTAGTATGGATACTTTTGGAGTGTAGGAGGAAGCTGGAGTACTTGGAGAAAAACATTGCAAACTTTGGGACAACGTGCACACACTCCACACAAGAAGCCCGGATTCGAACGCCTCAACTTTGGAACTTTGAGGCGAGTGAGCATTGCTAACAACTCAAGCGCCGAGTGCCGCGGAAAATGAATATCCACCAAAATGGTTTTGAACAAAATGTTAGGAATCCTACAGGGATTACAATTTTCTGCCTGTGCTGGATTAAACAAGTGAACACTATAATGACTGTAACATAAATGAAGTAATATAATGCAGGTGCCTAATACTGTAGATGCTTGACTGCGGGATCTGAACACAGGTTGATGTTTATTCCTCTAATTGACTGGAAAGTCTTGCCTCTTTTTCGGTCAACCTGTGAAGCAAAAAAAACAAACAAACCAAATGTACATTTAAGTACGTTAAAAAATACCATTTTGTTGCGTCACCAAACCACATTGGAAAATTTGGAATTATACCTCATATTGCTATGACATACAGTACTCTTGCACACTAACTTGAACGCAATACCTCCCAAAAATCAACTCCACGGGATTTCTCAGACAGTTGAAGTATCCAACGGAGTTGAGGGATTTGCTCGTATGATCTTTGACCATGTGGGGACTGACAAATATTATGAATTTGTGGGGAAAAAAAAAACATGAAATTGACCATATTTGGTCAGACGAGTCTTCTGGCCGACAGTGATGACAATCAAAAGTTTTACTCAATAATTACTTACCTTACGTGGCCTGGCTTCTTTCCTGCCAGAACACAAACACTGTTATACTCTGTGGTCAAAGCCTTGCATTGCATCTGTTCATGCATGCAAACACTTACTTTTCCTTTTTTTCAACCAGCTAACACACATGCAGCAGCTGCAGCAAAATGTAAGGGCTCCGCAGCCCGCTACAACCAACAGGAATTTATAGCCTGAGGAAATAATGATAGTGATTGTCATGCCAAGGATAATGATTGGAAAATATTATAACAATGATTGGCTCACTTGCACAGACAGGCCGAGGGCCGTGCCAAAAACCCGACGACCCGCAGGTGACCTGCCCCGAGCCGATCCTCAGAAAGCCGGGGTGACATGTGAACTGACATGTGGAGTTGGCCGTGTGGTTTCCTTCTGCACAGCGAAGGTATCCGTTGGGGTGAAACGGAGGGGGGCATTGCACATCTGGGGGCACGGAGGCTTCACAGGGACACAATTAGGTAAAAAAAAATGCTCAGTTTGCTAATTATCTTTTTTTTTTCCAACAATATCAAGTCATAGTTAGTGACTCCAAGTGACCTTCAAGCCTAACGAAGTGACCTATCGTGTTGTAGTCTCGGATCCTGACCTGTTTGACATGTGTCTTCTTCAGAGCCAGGCTCAAACAGACAGGTGACGTTATTGACAGCCTCCTGGCACCTTCCTCTTCCACATATCGTCGCGTTGCATTGAGCTGTCACGGAAACAGCACAATAGCAATGAATCCGATTCAAATTGGCATCATGCACAATGTGGAAGAATGCAATTTTCAAATCGCTATTGAGGCTGCAATTTGAAAAAAAAGGCTTTTTCGAAAAAAAAAAAAATATATATATATATATCTATATATATATATATATATATATATATATATATATATATAGATAGATATTCTATTTATTCATTTATGTAATATCTAGATAAATTCAGTGCATAAGAATGCAGTCCACATGTTTGCATATCTTTGTTTTAAGAAACATGAGAAGTTGAACTTTTCTTAGTTTGCATTTGTCCATTAATTAAATAAAATAATAGGAAGAATAATTTGAGTATTTTTGTTAGTTTACTTCCTCAAGAAATAGTTTGAGAGACTATTTTTTTACCTTGACCTGAGTCTTATCATTTTAAAATAACAGTACTCTTACTTGAGTACAATTTTTGACTACCCTGCCCAACTTTGATATGTGACAATATTGTCAAAAAACTTAAATGACCTTGATAGCAGACTGGATATTTCATATATCTACACTTCTCGTCATTCCATTTCCCTCGGTTGGCTCCGGCGTTAACATAGAGCTCCACGCAAACGGGCCAGCTCTGGTTGTTGTTGGGCTCGTTCTCCGCCCACGACTCCTTGCCGACCCACGTGCTGTTATTCCCGATCCAGATCCAATTTCCGTTCTTGTGAATTCTGGTGATGCCCAACCAGTAGTACGGACTGTGGTTCTTGTTCGGCAAGAAGGAAACCAGGGCGGCATTCTCGTCCTGGCTCTGGATGACCACCATGTCAGTGTAGTACGTTTGGCACCACTCTCGGGCCTGCGTCCACGTCATGGTGGTGTTGGAATAGTGATACATCCAGCACAAGTTGACCCCTATTAGGGACCCCCCTAATATGAATGAAAGAGCAAAACAGTTATGATCATCTCAAACTGGTATGTTTAAAAGGACACACTTGGGTTTTTAAAAAAATAACAGACGGTCACGGTCATTTCCATATGAGGTGAACGCACCGCTTGTGTTCAATCATCTGCCGTTTAAAAGCTTATAACGACCAGGACATCAATGCTAGTTTCATTAGCTTGTAGCGTTTGGCATTAGCATGAAGGTAGCGGACTCACCTAATTTAAGTCATTGCTTGTCACAAAAGGCAAAATACGGGGCAAAACATTCACACACCGGGTTTAAAAAAAACAACAGACAGTCACAGTCATTTCCATATGAGGTGAACACACCACTTGTGTTCAATCATGTGCCGTTTAAAAGCTTATAACAACCAGGACATCAATGCTAGTTTCATTAGCTTGTAGCGTTTAGCATTAGCATGAAGGTAGCGGACTCACCTAACTTAAGTCATTGCTTGGAACAAAAGGCAAAATAACGCGCAAAAAAATCACACGCTGCCGCCTAAATTATTTTGATTGTAAAATAATTTTATTTATTTTTTTCATTTTTCAATGATGATGAGTAAGATTATAGTCGCCACATTTCAGGTTAGCGTTTTGAGCAAGTGTGTTGAATTATCATTTCAGACAGGTCAAAGTTGAAAGATAGTGATTCAAATTTAGGTTTCAAAGATGGGTTAGGGCAGGGGTGTCAAACTCATTTTTGTGGCGGGCCACATTGTAGTGACCATTTCCCTTGGAGGGCCGTTATGACGATGAAAACATAGTAAGAAGTCAAGAATAATGGTTCATTCAACGATTGTTTAAGTTGTGTAATGAGAGGTTTCGTAACAAGAAAATGTTGACAATATCTCGCTTATTTACTACATATGGAAATTTTGGTACAGATGTTAGCAATCATCGTAAAAGTTGACATGTTTCATTTGCTTTCGCGGACCACATAAAATGATATAGCGGGCCAGATCTGGCCCCTGGGCCTTGAGTTTGACACCTGTGTGTTAGGGTTTCAAGCCTGGGTGAGGTCTTCAGACCAGGTTTGGTGTTTCAAAAGTGAGTTTCGAGCAAGGGTGATAGTTTCAATTTGGAGTTACTGTTTGAAGACATGAATAGGGTTTCAAATGAGAGTTTCCAGCCAGGCTTAGCGTTTCAAATTAGGGTTGTAATTTAGGCGTTCAAATGAGCATTTTAGCTTGATTTAAAGTTTCAAGTTTGGGTTTCAAAAAGGGGTTTCGAGGCTGGGTTAGGTTGTGGCTACGTTACTTCATAAAATGTCCAGTGAGTGAGATTTGGATACCCACCAAGGAGCAGTATCAGCATCCACTTCATTTTCAGACAACCTGCAAAGCAGAAATATCAACAACAATCACAACGTATTGTCGCTTATACTGAAATAACTTTGACCCACCTGCGACGATGGAAGCATGTATACGAGAAGAAAAGATTTTCCAAATGTTCAAGTTGCTGTCATTCCAATGAAAACGAGACGGCGGTAGTTGACTGTGTTGAGCTGCGGTCCATGTTAAGCACTTATGGGATCTCAGCACAATACCTGGATGTTTCCACACAGAGTGAATCCAAGTGATGATTGATGGCAACTCAATTATGATCCACTCTGATAAGAGAGTGGGTATGTGTCACACCCAATTTTTTTTTTTTTTTTTCTGAATAGGAGCACTCACGTGCTTGTAACCCCCAAAAAATGTCTTGGTTGCTTTTTTTGAAATTGCTTTGACCATCACTTTGGTGCTCGGTTTTAAAGTGCTTCACAAAAAAAAAAAAAGTTTGGATATTACGCCAGATATGTCGCTTGTCATCAAACGTAGCGTGTTGTAATATTTTTATACGTTTTATAGTATTTCCCTTCTTTCCACACTTGTATGTATTGATGTAAAATCATGCTTCAAATATAGCCTGTAAAGGTCGATGATGGTTTGTGGTTACATAAGTTGGCTGATTAATTCCAGTGTCACCCTCAGAGTGATCGCATATATTTTCCCCACAAAAGTGCAGATGGAAAAAAAAAATGATGACATGGAAATATGAAATTTCCCCCACAGCAGGGCTACTAATAATGGAATACCTTATCTGAAAATTGCTTCCTCTGCTGCTGCCCAACTCTGACATGACATGAGAAAAACACAAGTTTTGCAAAGGCAGCACGCCCGTGTGTGTGTGTGTGTGTGTGTGTGTGTGT